AGAGGAAATGGCCAGAAACTGAAACACCAAAAGTTCCATAGGAACTTAAGGAAAAATTTCTTAACAGTGAGGGTGACAGAGCCCTGGACCAGGCTGCCCAGAGAGGTTGTGGAGTCTCCTTCTCTGGAGATCTTCCAAACCCGCTTGGACGCAGTCCTGTGCCACGTGCTCTAGGTGACCCTGCGTGTGCAGGGGGGTTGGACTAGATGATCTCTAGAGGTCCCTTCCAACCTTAAGCATTCTATGATTCTATGATTTCCATGAGCCAATGCTCTCAGAAGGTCCCAGATCCTAGTAACATTACATTAAAGAAGAATTAGCTTCTGATATATGTTTGTTTAGACCCTCCTCAGGATGATTCCCTTCAGAAACCAAACTGAACTATGCTATCCTCTGCATAGGAAGGGAAGTTTCTCTAGGGAAGTTCTGAGGGCTATGGGTTCCTGTTTTTCTCTTCTCTAGGGAAGTTCTGAGGGCTATGGTAGATCCCTACAGGTGGATGGTGTGACTGTACGCTGGGATGGTTAAATAACTATCACTGTAAATGGCTGTAATTCGTGATAATACAAGTGATACAAGATTCAATGATACAAGTGAAAACAAAGTTCCCAGCACTTATATTTCTTCTTCAGTTCGCCTTAGGAATGCAGAAGATGCTTTGAATGTGTTTGCAAAGCATTTTTGAAGATGTTGGGTATTTAGGAGCTGGTAGCACTGAAACCAACATTTTGGCAAGTTTGTACCTTGGTAGGTATTGCTTATTCTTCTCTTGGAGAGCCTCAGTGATTCACCTGCTCGTTTATGTTTGTGGTAACTATCTCAAGAAAAGAGTACTGGTCAGACAAATGGTAGCAAAGGTTAAGAAGTTTTGATTTAGAATACATATTAATGTATCATGAAAAACAAACAAACAAAAAATGTTTATTTCATCCACCTAGCTCTTTGAGATCTCAGTTCCCTTGACAAGTGTTCCAGAGCCTGTTCCAATCAAAATTGCCAATCATACAGGCTGTAAGTGTATATCGAATACCCAACGTCATCAGTATGCCATCATACGAAGATCTGTCCAGTACCCTGAAGAAGATGGGTAAGCTCCCTCACTTACAAAATGCTACACAAGGTGTGCAATTCTGAGTATGAAAAGTATTTTATTTTGAATTGGTCATTAAAATAGTCCTTTTACCGTTTCCCAATGTTTTTTTTCCAAATGACTTAGTTATCACTCAGTGTTAAAAAATCTGAATTAAACCTAGTAAACTATAAGTAAATGCACACCAGAATCCAAAAAATAGCAGGCTAGTTCAGCAGGGTTGGGAGGTATTAATACACTTAGGTGTTTGAGGGGAGGACTTGCACATATTAGCACAATGTTCCACTATTTAGTTATGTGTGCACTGGCTTTTTTGATCTGGCACAAGTAACTATGTTCATACATATTTTGGCCAGGGCAAACAGAATACTGCATTTTAGCAATGCTCTGCCACGTCTCAGGACCTGCTGGATTGAGACAGGCGCAAACTGTGGCCATGCACTTTCCTCTCCAGATCTGGCTTCTGTCTTTCAGTTCAGAGCCTAGAGAAAAGTGTTTTTCACATCTATTGATGATGTATATGATGCAAACACACCTTCAGTCCTGATGAGAACAGGTTACATTAATTCAGCAAAAAGTCTAGAAACAGGGCTACATTAAGTGAATTAAAGCTAGCTCAGGTCTCTGTCTAGCTTTGCATGTAGACCTATCCCCATAACTGTCCTTAAGTTAGGACCGGAAAAGAGGAGATTTGAGTGAAGCCACCACAGCTCTTCATCAAGCTGCTGTCTCCTTCCTATGCAAATATTGAAGAACTTCAGCCTCATTCCAGTTTGTGAATTCCCCCAAAGCCAATGTGGACCCTCATAGGCCATCTGCAACAATTAGAGCATAGAATAGTTTGTCAAACTGACCTCTCTGACCCTGAAAATAGTCCACTGTACATCCTTAAGCACAGGAAAAATCGTAAGTGCACTTTGCAGCATGACAAAATTGGAGCATGAATAGAGTTGGCAATAAGCTACTCTGGACTGGGTAGAACTGTGGTATGAATCAGTGGAGCTGCAAAACTGTACCTGTTTGCTAGATGTGCAATCCAAAATATATGCTGTATCTGCTAGTGCTAGTTTTTGGGAACCAGACGACTGAGCCCTATCAGTAAATTCATCGATCCCTAAGGTTTTCTGTTTGCAGTAGTTATACAAACAGATCCAATAAGCTTGTGTAACATTATGAAAGATCTGCAATGCTAGCAGGCTCTTCTTGCCAAGTGAATATACTGATTCTTTTTCACAATCTTTTTTTTTTCTTTCCTAGATGTCCCTTTGCCAACAAACTTTGCCATAATGGATGGGTATGGGATAGTGACAAATGTGAATGCGTTGTAGATGCACAGCACCCCAACAGACGGGAAGGTAAAGCTGAAATTACAAATGACACCTTCGATGTACTATCTTTAGGCTGGCTATGTCTCATACTGGTTTTCCTCCCTTTTGTTACTGAGAGAGTTAAGCTTAGATTTCACCCCCTAGAACGCGTCTGTTAATGGAGTGGAAACACACCTGAAAATAAACACAGCTATGTGTTTATCCCCAACTCATGTTATCTGCTTGAGCATTTTTTTTCTATCAATACCAGCAACCTGAATAAGGAAGAAGAAATAAGCATCCTTGCTAAATTGTTATTTTACATAGGGCTGAGTCTTCATGTGGGAAACATTTAAAAACAGGCTATCAGAAAGAAGACGGGTAAAATCAACTCTCCCAATTGGTGGTAGGCAATGCAGTAGATTATATGACCTTTCAAAGTTATTTGCCTTTTTTTTTTTTGTTATTATGTTACTTAGTAAGTTACTTAGGAAGTTTCCACAAGTATGCCGTATGTATTCAGGAGAATTCAAGTGAACGTTTTCAGATCTGTGGAAAGAAATGGAACATGGTAGAAGTGTCTTTCCCCCTCTTTCTACTTTTCCTAGAAAAGAGTTTAACCTGACAAGTATATTTGCAGGAAATACTCTCTGGTGAAACTGTAAGTTTAAAGATACTTACTGGCAGTAAACATTTCGAGAAGTTTCCCCACATCCTATAGAAGTATTTAAACAAATTATTTTTTTCTCAGGAAATTGCACCGGCTAAGCAAAACTGTCATTGCACTAGCGTAGATGGATGCAGATGGAAGTTCTGCTCTTTTGGGTTAACTTTCATTCAGAAAGTACAAGAATAAACCACCCAAGACAACAATAAAAGCAATATGGCAAACAAATCCCAGATTAGCAAGCTAAAGTCAAGTAACTTAATAAACTACTCTGTTGGTTACAGTCTTCTAAAAAGCAAGAGATCAATTGTGGTGGTTTTTATAGGATCTGTTGCCTTCTAATCAGATTGTTTATCCATCAAGTTAGGCATTTGGGCTTAAGTTAGGTTCTTGGCTCAAAAGGATTAGTACTCTTATTTTAAAATCTAAATGACTGAGAATATCCGGAGTCCCTTTGGCTCTTAGACTTTTATAAAGTCAGCTTTCAACATTATAGTGACTTGTTGAATTATAGGTTTTGTTGACATAAGCTAAATATTTCATCAAATAAAAATCATTCTCTGAAGTACAATGTGTTTGGCAGTGGCTTGAACAAAATATCAACTTAATATCTGTCTTTGAGGCTAAAACAAAGGGATACCTAAACACTCTACATCAATTTGTACATGCCAAGCTTTATCACTCCAAGGAAGGGTTTTCTTTTCCAAGAATTTGCTGCAGATTCCTTTTTCCCTTCAAATAGGATATGTTTTTTATTTTGTTTGGATATTGGTTCTCCAGCATTAAGTAAATAATAATGAAGGTTTCTTTCAAGTAACAACTGTGCCTTTTTTGGCCTCTGAGTTGAGAACTTAAGATTGCAGAGGTCATGAACATAGGTTACATTCCACATTCCATAGGTTAAATCCAAGAGCTAATTGCAAAACTACAGGAAATTACCTTTCCGATGACACATTATACACCATGACCTTTAACCAGGGATGTGCTGCCAGAATATTAATATGGCTTTCACAAAATGTGTTCCCTTTTTGCTAGGATTAGCCTTATATTGTACTCCAGATGTGTATTTTGAAGGAAGATGGATGAGGTATTTAGACAGTGCTTTCATTTGGCTGGGATTTTGTTTTTGAAACAAAGTGTTTTCTCCTTTCAGTAACTGTCAAGTGTACATATGCTGTTTATTGATGAGTGTTAGACCAGGTTGCACCCTGCTAAATACATTATTGCTTTTCCTGGCAGATAGTGTAGTACATGGACAAGCGTGATATTTTGTGTGGATGTGCAGTGACATGCAGTGTTGCAATGGCATTTGGCTCTTTTAAGATATAACCCCCAAATAATGCAGGGTTCATTCAGCAAAGCCACAGGAAATAAGAGTGCTAGAATAAGGGAAATAATCAGACCATTCCTCTCCTGAAAAAACTCCAGGAGTCCTTCTCTGTACTCTAAGTTGTGACAGAAGCTCTAAAGAGTAGAATATATTGGAGAGTATATGTTTAAGTCCTAGTGTTTGCAAATAAAGAGCTACATCCTCAAGAGCAGAACTTAGCTGTGTAAAGTTTATTACTAAAAAACACATATGCTGTTGTAGGACTCCCTCCTCTTGCTGAGCTGGCTATGTGTGGACAACATATGGAATTTGATGAAGATAACTGTGAATGTATCTGTAGACAGAAATGTCCCACGGACTTCTTTCAAAGCAAGGAGAACTGCAGCTGCTATTTGTGTAGGGAGAGCCAGGAGAGTTGTGCTCAGAAACACAAGATATTTCATGCCGAAACCTGCAGGTGAGTGTTCCTTGTTCAGTGTGTGTCTATACTGCAAAATCTGAATCAGATTGCTCAGACACTGGAGGTGCAAGTGCTCAGTTAGCTAAGGGTGGAATAGCTTGCTGCAACTATGGAGATAATAATAATAGAGAGAATATTTACAATACTTACCTCATAGAAGGAGTCTAAGCTTTATTTAATTAACATGCTTTGAGAAGTCTGGACAAGGATGCTACTCTAGTGAACACATTTATTACTTTTTTTTCCCACCCTAATCTTAAAGAGACAAGGATGCTACTCAAGTAAATATATTTATTACCTTTTTTTTTTCATCCTAATCTTAAGAAGATGACTATTAAAGCTGTGTTTTACCTGAAAGTACTGTGTGACACAGAGGAGCTATAGACTTTGTAAGTTCATGGCAAGGAGTATGTGGAAGTAGCCTTTGCATTTTTAGATTCAGCTTTGGCTGAGTTTGTCTTATAGAACTGACTACAATCTGGGCACACGATTTGTATGCCAGGCTTCTATGCCCAGTATTTCAGGAAACTGAAAGTATCAGGTGAGCTTGGGAGGTCTCTGTTTGAATATAATGCATTTTACAGAATTTGAGGGCTGACACTCCATATTTCAGTGCTCACAAGAAATTAAAGCATTACTTAGGTTCCAGCTGTGGACAAATTGTGGCCAACAATAAGACATGTTGATACACACAAGCCGTCAGGCTGTGAAGTCTTCTCACACTGCACTGTAGCGTGTCAGAAATTTCCTGAGTATCTCCTACAGGAGAGCATCACAGTGTTCAGTGTTAAAAAAGATGAGGAATGTGATGGAAAAGAAAGAACATTTTATAATGCTTACCTCTTTGCTGTTTTCTCCTTTATTGAACAGCTGTGAGGACAAATGTCCATCCCAACCCCGAACATGCCCAACTGCAAAACCAGTATGTTCCAGGCATTGTCGTTGTCCAAAGGAGAAGAGAGGTTCTCATGGGTCCCAAAGCAAAGAAAATCCTTGACCAAACTTACCTTCTTCTCCAGCAATCCACTGCTTCGCAAAGTAGCTGTCACTGACTTTCGATAAATAGTAAACATGGACATCTTCCACATTAATAGCAGAAGAATGGATCCAGGCTGCACTTATTTATTAATCACTAACTGCAATTGGGTCCTCTAGGACATTGATTACTATTCTCTAAGAGGTACCAACAACTGATGAATTGTTGGCTGTCTGGAAGGATGAGTGGAAAGAGACAGTTCCATGGTGGATTATGAAAGGTGAAGCTGGTTTATTGGTGATAGAGTCACAGTCACCATCCAATCTTTCAGAATTTAAGACTAAATAATGTTAGCCTCCGAATTTTTAGCTAGTGCAACTCTTGGGTGAAACATTCCTCAGAAATTCAGTGTACAGGATCTGGCTTCTCATATCTTCAGCACTGAGTTATTTGATCTACTGTCCAGCTTCAATTATCATTTTAAGTTTATTGTACAACTACTGTCAGATGTGCCATATTTAAATGTATATAAGAAAATAAATACATCAGTTATTCAAGTGATCTTGATTTTCTTCTGTTACTTTAAAACTCTGCCAAAGAAAAAGAAAATAAGCAAAAATGCAAAGCCATCTCAAGTACAGCATTCTTAATGTTTGTCCCACTGGGACTGGCCCCTTCCCGAACCCGGGTTGGAACAAGGTCACTTTCTACAACAGTTTCAGTAAAGAATTGCTTTTCCCATATCTACCCAAAAGCCAAATGTGATTTATTTATTTGTCCCTGGTGTGGTGTGTGGATCTGTCTAGAGTGTGGACAGCCACGCTAGTACCAAGTCTTCAGTGATTTTTGGAAAGGCTTGGTCCACTGAAAGACGTTTTTTTTTTTTAGCTGACCATGCTATGAAATACCTCCTTTGCATTGAAATTCCTTTCACCATTTTGAGGCCTGCATAACAGTGTTTTAACCAAATCAAGTACAAGACAGCTTTATTTGCTGAGCCACTGGAGTCTGGACTGGCCAGACTAGAGAAAACATTGTAAGCAACAATTCTGAATTGGAAGTGATAGTCTTGACGGCTAAGTCATTTTTTCCCATCACTGAACTCTCCAGCTCCATATTGCATTGTGAACAGATGGAATAGAGGAAACAAAACAGTTGCTACAGAGATGGAAAGGTTGACACAACAGAGAAGAGAAAATGGCTTGTTGATGAACATCTGAGATTTATATAGGAAAAAAAAAAGGATTTCTTTAAAACAAATTTACAGCCAAATCCTGTAAAAATGGATTCAGCTGATGGGCAAAGCACCAACATAATGTGTCTTCTGTCAGAATAAGGCATGGCAGATTTAACCTTGGATGGTTACTCAGACTGAGCGACCACTAAGCTGTCTCTGATCTGGGTCTACGCAAACATACCAGCAGGATGTTTTTCTTATCAGTGCTGAGAAGCGACCTAGGAGCCTCTGAGAAAAGAATGTGGTCTGACTGGTGACCGTACTGGGTGGAGCTCCTGCAGACCGGTGCAACCTTATGCACAGGTCTGCACTGGGGTCTCCTGCTGAGAGCTCTCCTCAGAGCCCAGGGCACGTGCAACGGGCAAGGCCTGCACACTGCACAGACGAAAAGGGGAACATGAGCCCTGTGCAAACCAGAGGTGAGTCAGCTTGGCAGTAGAAACACACCTTTGCATTTCTCTCATTCCTCCGAGAAGCTCTGCATTCAGACACAGACTGATGATGGGTAAAGTCCTGAATAACACGAACGTCCTCACAAGGAAGGAACGTCTCCTGACGTCCTCGTTGGGGGTACTCCCACTTGTGGTTGGACTGCTGACAAGGTACACCATTAGCACATTCCTCAGGGAGTCCAGGAGCTGCAGAGGCCCCATGCTGTGCAAGCCCAGGCAACTCATACTGAACAGAAGCTAACTGGCACTAGCAGCCTACAGGATAATAAGGTAAGAAGGTATTCACATTAGTGTGAGACACTACAACAATATTTGTTCAGATAAAATCTTTTTTTTTCCAAGCATTAAAAAAGCTAAGGTACATAGCCACATTGCCTGTGCACAGTAGTTCATAGTGTGCTTTAACAACAGAAAAACTGGAAAACAGTTTACAGGTTGAATCTGAGTGGCGGCCTGCTAGCTCATGAATAATTACTGAAGTCAGAAGAGTCATACTGACATAAAGCAAGTGTAGACGAGATCACACCCTCTGGGTGCACAGTGGTCTGACTTTGAGCTACGTGTGGCAAGAATTCAAGCTTTTGCATTGCCCAGTTCTTTTAAAATTGAAATATAGTGACTGAAATGTCTTAGTATCGTCAATGCTGAGCTATAGAGTCTTTGTCAGTTTTCTGCCCTGCCGGGGGCGTATTAAATATTTTTCACAAAACAGAGCTGCTCCAGCTCCAGAAGGCTCTTAGGTATGGTAGTCACTGGGAAGCAGAAAATTGAATTCAAAAGCTTCTGTCAATGAGGCAGAGAGGAATTGAAGATGAGCTATCTAACTGCCCAGAATACAACATCCATTAGTATATGGAGACTAGAAATGTGCCATCCCTGGCCACCACTATCTTTCCCCGTGACCCTGCTCTGAAGTTCTTGTGGCTTCTCAACCCACTGTAAAATGGAGCTCTAAAGCCTGAGGTCTAATTTAGAACTGAAGATCCCAATGGGGACAAGTGAAATGTTGCTACGTCCACAGGCTTCACCTTAAGCCTCTAGATGAATTTAACCTCTAACGCCAAATTTTACCCTTTACTCTTGTGGATCACCTTGTGACAGGCATAAGTAAATATTTTTGGTATAAATATGCTCAACTCAAACAAGAAAATCTGTGGTCATCAAAAATACATCTGAAGGTCAAAGTAAAATTCAGTGTTATTTTCATATTTAATCCTGATGGCTCTTTTATCTGTGAGGAATTTCCATTTTACAGCGCAATTTTCCATTTTGCACAAGCAGAAAGCTTGTGAAGTTAGAACAGGTCTTGGGCTTTTTCTTGAAAATGGAAAGATGAAGTGCTTATGATAGCATTCATTTACAAAAGTGGCCTAAGCAGCCTGTACACTTTAATATTTGCCGAGTTTATTTTAATTTTCACGCTCTTTAGGGATCCATGGGCCTAATTTGTAAAAGACCTATGAAAATGATTCTTTGGTGAGGTCGGATAGTCAGCTTCAGTACACAAAGTTAAAACCCACGCTCAAGCCTGTGCAGGATAACAGACGTGTGTGTGTGTGTGTGTGTAAGCGCACACCAATGATGCACCAGTCGTCACGTTAACTCCTTCCCACTGCGTGCAGCATTAGACTTATTAGGTTTCACACGCTTTTCCTCACTCTGTTAACTCACTAACCTGTCAGCGAGCCGTCTCTGGCCTGTTGAGTCCCCACAGTGGCCGGTGAGGCCAGCTTGCCACGGCGAGGCCCGCACACGCACTGTGCCAGGGCTGCCAGGGACGGGGACACCTCTCTGCAGGGCCCTGTACTCAAGGCCGCTCCACACATGGAGGCTTCACTGCAGGCCTGCAGCCCTCCCTGTCAATTCAGCGTGCCCAGGCCTCCTCCCGCACATCACCTAATGCGAGCAGTATCCTCCACAGCAAAGCAGAGATGTCTAAGTGAGCCGAACAGGCCAGATTCACAAGCACTGGTGCAGGGGCATGAAAATATCAATGCTTAACCCTGCAAGCTAAACACTGGGAGTATGGGCACTGCTCATCCTTCATCCTCGCCTTGGTTCCTGTGGAAGGGCAGGGAAAGGCACCCCTGCCTTCGGAAGCCCTGACCCATACGCTTCAGGGGCTGCTCTAGCTCACGGCTGTGCATGCAGAACAGGGAGCTTACAGCTCATAAGCTCATTTCTTCTACAATAAATTCCTATCCTAGCAGATCATCTGCTCCCAAGGCCCTGTGCCAGTCTGCATTGCTGGGAGCTGCCCTTTTCCATCCTGTTCTCTTGTATGAGAAAAAGCTAGAATATCTCCTGGGTATTTATAACATTCCCCAAAGCAATAAACTCAAGAGTTTAGACATAACGCTCTGAATGCCAGTACTACGTGATGGTCTTGATTATCACAGCCCAAAGGAGATCTGGATGTTGCTAATATCATGGCACAGGCCATAAATCCTTTACATGGAAAATCATGACTAAAAGAAAAATACTGTCAGGAGCTCTGTGTGGAGAAGGAAACACAAGCAAATAGCTACAATTTGATGAGGATTTATAAAAGCTCACAGTTGTTATTTTATTTGAGAAATTCTGGAGTTGATCCATTTTCAAATATTCAATAAACTTTAAAACAGAATTGATTCAAGTTATCTTTCATATCAATAGATAAGAATTTAATAACACAGATTTAATAAAACAATTCAAAAGATTTAAATGAGGTATGCAAAATTTATGGCAGATCTGTTTTTGACTGGTGTCATTAGCTCTTAACCTATGAGTAAATGACCTTCTCAGAAGGAAGGTTATTGAACAGAGGAACATTCTGTTTGAAGTTTGAAACGCCTTTTATTACTGCGTTCAGCATGACTTGCTTTTTAAACATATGGATGTGATTTACAGATTTCATAGCCAGAATAATAATGCTAAAATTTCCTGTTTTTGTGTGTCTTAGTTTTTATATAATGAGAGGAGTCTTTAATGCTACATTTGGATTATACTTCTTAAACATTCTTGTGCATAAAAAGAATCAGAATGTTTAAATAATGTTAATTGTGAATAAAGCAAGTCTGAAGCCTCCAAAAACATCATTTTTAACTAATAGTTAGCTTTCAAGTTTCCACTTGCTTTTTAAAGGGGAGAAGGCAGTGGATTGAATGAGAACTGTAGCAATACACAAAACAAAAACACACACACATAAAAACAGTGCATTTCAAAGATTCAAGAAATCATTACCCACTTCTTAAAACTGTGTTTTCTGGAAAGATAGAGGTATATGTGATCTAACAAAATCTCATGTGGCAGTGAAAAAACTCAAGCACATCTTGTAAGCATAGACACCATTACTCCAGAACCAATTCATATGCCACATACTGTTTGCTTATAGGAAACATTACTCACAGGGAGGCTGACAGAGCATATATAAGTCATGTCATAGACACAAGCGTCTATATTGCAAACCTACAAATCTCTATATATCCTTTGGGCATCAAGTCCAGCTAACTCTTAAGGTCCCTTCCTCTCCTGCATCTGTTCTTCCCAAACCCGCGGGTCCCATTCCCCCTCTGCACAGTGTGCACAGCTGGAGATTAGTCAGTAGGCCATACTTTTGGGGAAAAGATACATACACTGGCTGTA